TTCTATTCTATAGGCAATCGATGTATACATTGTACGTGTATTAGAATTTAAACAAATCATATTTAAGTCATATTAAGCATAAAATATCCAGCTGCAAGATTATTAAATTTCTCTAATTCGTCAATGACATATCCCAGAAATAAGATATAACCAAATATGACTCTTTCCAAACTTGCAAAAAGAGAGGGGACTAAATTTCAACTGAAAACTCAATTAATCTACTCATTGGAAATTCAAAAATTGCAAATCATTTTATACTTTTTAAAAATATTTAAAAACCCTAATCTCCAAAACTTTTATTTCGAATTAAATCGAAACCAAAACTCGATTATTGATAAACAGTAACGCTAACCTTTGTGTATGTATTATATAAACAGAATTATAGTTTGGAAAGGTAAATACAGATGTATATTTCGTAAACCATTCTCGATAATGAACGTATTATTTACTGACCCTACCCGACTTATGCAATTCGCGGAAGACCTGAATTTGAAATAACGTTATCCCTGACCGTCTTATAAAAAACCCAGGAGGACCAATCTGTGAATTTAAACAAAGTCATATGATAAAGGAGTAGAGCCAGTAACCCCAATAAACAGCCCTGTAAAGGTTTATTTTAACTTCAATTATTAAAGTAAATCTAATTGGTATGTATTGCTAAATGTATGATATTTAAAGGTATAATAAGAAAATTGTATGTCTGCTTCACATTTATAAATATATTAGCCTGAAATAGGAATAGATTTCATTTTCGTCCACTTTTCTAGAAATGCGTTAACTTTTTCCACCTTTTTTCATGATTGTGTATGTGGCGCCATCCCTCGACCATTGAAATGTTTGTTAAAAGTAAAGAATATGGTATATAAAGAATATTTCAGCAAAAATATTTGTGGGCGAAGGGTGGCGCCACTGTTAATTTTTCAGAAAACTGTCATAAATATTGCAGAACTATGCCCAAAAAATCAAGTTTTTAAGAAATTCCCCTTCATTATGACGTCACAATACGTCACTGATGATGCAATTGGTGAACATATGTTTTAACTGAAACACCTGGACATTTTAACATATGCTTTAATCAAATGTTCACTAAATTATCACAGTGAAATATTTTCAGATTTCTAGGGCCAAAATTATGAGTTAGTGATATTTGTTTATATTCTTATTTTATTGATTATGTCAATTTTCAAAGTTTAGCACTTTATCTCTATACAAATAAGGGCTGAAATACAGTTTCCCGGCTGTGAAGTGGAACATTGAAAATATCAATGGAATTCAGCGACAATCTCCAGCAATTCATTTCACAAAAAATAATCGTTAGTCATACACATTGTAAACATTTCAGTATAACTTACGATCAATTTTTATCTTAAGATTTTTTGTGAAAAAAAGCTGCTGACCTTGGCATAAATTACAAAAGCGCTCTTGTCTATAAATGCCAATCCATCGTTCAACACTAGATAATTTGTGATCCCCTGACTTTAATCTACAAAAAAATCTATGTGTGTCGGATAAAAAATCTACATAATTTTCATACTAAAAAATGTCTTTTACAATATCTGTAAACCATTTCTGAGACAGTCTAGATGAGAAGTGTGTTTACATGTGAACTTCCAAGCCTGGAAGAGGGTTTGCCTACCGAAATGTTTGAATAAATTTACTGCATGTAATATTTGCTCCACACTATTACTTAATCACCTACAATTCAAGTAGTTTTTGTTTACCATATATTACTTTAATCACATGTATTAACTTATTTTCTTTACAGTTCATCTTTTCTGACTTGATAATATTTGAATTATATGAATTTGTATTAAATGTATTTACATTTATTTTACTTTCAATTTACAGTGTTTACCCCAAAAAAATCATACTAAATTTGATATGAAATGACATAGAAAATATTGACAGTTTTCCATTTACAAAAACGTTTGCAGTGATTTACTTATTTAAAGGTGTTCCTAAAAGTGATTTTGAATTTTTATCAAACGGTTCATATTGACATTTCACATTTAGATTGTGCACTCCTCTTTTTGTTAAAATATTATACATTGTTTGGTGACTTTGGCACATCAAAAAAGTATCATCCACATAAAGAAGAACAAATAATTTGATGTCTAAATTTAGCTTATTTTCTATTTCATAAAAACCGAGCTATTTACAATTATTGGACTGAAAATTTCATCGAATACCTTCGAGTCAATGAAAACAAAAAAGGGGATACATTTTTCACTTGCCGTCTATTGAAATTGTATTGATGGCCTTTTCTGAAAAACGAATTAAGCAAGTAATATTCTAAACACAATTTGTTTCACATTTTATGAGTTTTTCTAAGTGCACTTTTAAGATTTATTTGAGATACTCTCATTACTAAATTATATAATGCATTGTAGTCTTAGATACATGCTTTTGTAGTTGTTATTGGCTTTGAACTAGCTGTCAGTAACTGCGAGTACTCTTATATCTGTACTTTGTGTCTATTTTGTTGTTTGGAATGTATAGATTTCTTGCTACGTCCATTTATATTTTTGTTAGTTGTTTTTCTGGTTTGTATCGATCTGATGAGTCAAGCCCTTTTCAACTGATTTTTTTAGGTTGTTGTGTTGTACTGTTACACCATTGTCCCAGGTTAGGGGAGGGTTTGGCGCCAGCAAACATTTTGTATCCACGCCATATTCTGTATGTGTCCCAAGTCAGGACCTGTAAGTGGTTGTCTTTTGTTGCTGTATATCATAGTTGTTTTTCGTTTATAGTTTTGTACATAAATCAGGCCGTTAGTTTTCTCGTTTGAATTGTTTTACATTTGTCATTTCGAGGCCTATTAGCTTACTATGCGGTATGGGTTTTGTTTACTGTTGAAGGCCGTACGGTTACCTATAGCTGTTAACTTCTACTCAAAACAACAAAGTAATTAAAAAACAAATTATATAATAATTACAAAATCGAGGAGTACGTCTACATTTTTGTGTAAGTTTAGAAAAACGAAAGACAAATAGCCCTGGAAATATGCAACATTAGGAAAAACATTTTATGATTTCTTTGGTCTCTATATTTGTGATTCAATAAATTAAAAATGTTACCCAATGTATTATATCTATATTCCTGTAAATTGTAAAACATGTTTTGGTAATGAAAAAAATAAATCCATTGAAACCTGAGACTTCACTGCAAACACGCGTAAATCGAACCAACTGAGATGGACACACTGTAAAACGACTGTAATTTTCATAAAGTTGCAGTCTATAAATACATAAATACAGGATAACGAATACTATATAAATTTTATTCCGATAGCCGCATTAGTCAAAATATTAAAACTTACTATAGTCATCTAACATTTGCAAAACAATATATAAAACAGCATTTTAATACAATAAACAGGTTAGAGGTAAATTGTTACATACATGTGTGAACAATCTGGTTTTCACAAATATAACTTTGATAAATGTACATGTTTTGTCTTATATTACACTATTTGCAGAGATGATTAAGCTGATATATTTTACGATTTGACCAGAACTACTGAGGTAATAACTGCTTTCTTTCGTCATTCCTAATCGGTTTAACAATTAATGATATAATGGCACTCGCCACCAATTTCAATTTAATTAGAGAGACGACCGAGTCTGTTTTTTTTTCTCGACTTGTAAACACTTTCTTTTCAACACCGTTGCTTTTAATGCATCATCAATAGTTTACAATGAAAATAAAAAGCACTTTATTTTTGTTATAGTTTCAAATTTAAGTGGTTTGTAAATGCTTAGTTTGAAATCTTAGATTTGTTATTTCTTCAATGTTACATGTTTTTAAGAATCTTAACGCCCTCCTTTTCTCACAAAAGTTTGATCCGTGCAATAATAGAAGGTAAGGAAATGTATAAAGAAAAATTGTGAAAGAAAAGGAATGATAACAACAACAACACAATAAAAAACAAAAACAAAAAATTAAACAAGTACCAGCAAGACAATAATGGACAATATCGTCCTAAAGAAAGATATCGTTTACTGAAATCAAGCTAAAACAATTATGCTCTAATATCGGAGTTTGTATGACGAAAATTCAATATAAAAAAAGTCAGGATATTGTTTAGGACTTAAACAATAAAACATATACCAATAAATGTAATGTAACAGTTCTACTATATTCATATCATATTCGTTTGACATATTCTAATGTAGTGCAAAACGTAAGAGGGAATAAGGATTATTATATCGTGTCAGTTTTTAATATGGTTGTTAACACAACCTTACCACTGAAATATAAAATTTAAAAGAAATGGTACAGTTTTTGTAGCTGACAATTCAATGGGGATAAATCCCTTTCCTTTTTATGTTGGATAATACAATTTTATGTTTCATTGTCAACTTTAAAAGTTCTTTGTAAGAGAGATTGAAATCTGATATGTTATATATTCACTATCTATGCATGATTTAGTAAGTTCATAATGTCTTCAGTTGAACAATTTACTCAATGAGAAATAACAACTATTACAGTATATTCCGTACACTGTCTGAACATATAAGCTCGTTAGGTATTGTTTGTAGAAGATATTTTAACAAGAAGTATATCTCTAACAAGATATATTATATCTACACTAAGCTGAGCATTATAAAAACAATTGACCCAAGTTAGTAATGATGTTATTTGCAAAAAAAGTAAGGTGATTATGCATATTCCTAATTTCAAAGGGTTATTTATTTCATTATATCAGTTATGTATCGGTGGTAGTGGCTTCGTACGTATGGCTGAGCTTGTTGGTGGTCGCGGTTGTTCCGGTAATGGCGTTAGATTTCTTCTCAATGCCTCATTTAGAGGTTCTGGCTGTTGGTAAATCCTTGATGTCATAGCAAATGGAGACATTGAGCTTGCAAGAGGCTTGGTCTTTTCATGTAAGGTTCCGTCATTTTCCAGACATTCAACGCTTAGTTTGTTTTGTGGAGAAACCTGTTTTACTCTCGAGTTATAATCTTTTGAACTTGGATTTTCTGTAAGAAATATAACTATTTGTTTCAATATATTTTTTTTATTTTCATATAATTAACATTTATAGATATAAAAAAAAACATTAACAAAAGACACACGCATGCATTAAATGTTAAAAGTTAACAATTAAAAACAGTTATTATAAAATCAATTACAAAAATATAAATGTCTTTAACATCATAAGTAATTTCTATGGCTGAATTGTTCCATTGGTATTGCTTTGTCACGTGGTGATAAAGAGTCTACGACTAAATCATCCGACATGGTTGGTTCTCTCTTCAAATTTAATTCTGAAATGAAGAGAGAACTGTTGTTGTATGTCATCAGTATCACCTCAATTACGTTTTATAATTACAACTACAACTCTCATTTATTTTTGTGTACTGTCAAAATGTCGTGTTGATGTCTTTCTTCAACCAATTTGCTGTTTTATATTAATGTGTCTCGCTCGGTATTGTTTTTATGCTTTCCTGACAACTTATATTAATATGTGTCCCTGCCTTCGAATTATATTATTATATTCACAACATGTTAGAAATTAAAATAACGATCTATGCACATAAGTAAAACCTTTCTTTCATAAGTTAAATAACGTTTTGTATGTATTTATATACTGTTTCTGAATAATAATTTTGATTCATTATAGTTTATTAGTTGACTTTAACTAGTTTGATCGCATCTATATCATTGAACTTGAAATAAAACCCTTGGACAAAAGATACGAGTTCAATTTTCCAATTGCTAACTTATTTTTATGATTTAAGGATTTTTGTTTGTTCCCACAAAAAAAACCGACAACTGTAAAAAGCACAACCTTTTAATAGTCTGTTATTAATGACTGGTAATTTTTTGAATTTGTTTGTTGTTTATTTATTAAATGCGCGCTTACCAGAAAGAGTAAAATCTGAATCTGGTGGTAGAGGCTGCTTTATATCGGTGCAATTTCCTTTGAGTGACTGCCTATGTTGAATTTGTGATTTCTTTCCTTTGAAGTATTTCTGGTATATGAGGAAAGCAATAATAATTATAGCTATCAGCAATAGAATTGACAGGACAGCACCAACCACTGCTGCTGTATTACTACCCCCTGAAGAACTTTCGCCTGTTGATGGGTTAGTATTGCTGCTATCGTTGTTAGATGTCGTTGGCATCATGGTAGTAGTTGAAGTTGTTGTTGTAAATACTGTGAAAATAATATAAATATTTCGAAAAACAAAAAAGAAAAAATCGTGTTTCTTAATTAACTATTGTCGCCTTTAGCCTTATCCCACTACATTTTTTTTTTGTAAATTCGCAATTATTTATGTCTGTTGATTTTCTATCATGTGCCTAAGCTCTTTTAGTAGTATCTAAGAATCATACGGATTTCAATCATTCATCAGTTTGCGATTAACCTTTCTTCGCATTATTTTTTTTTTTATTTTGGGTGGTTAATCTTATTATACAAAATGTATTTTTTGCACTGTTGTAAGTAATGTATTGCATGCTTTTTATTCTTAAAAACATGTCCAACTTTTGTGTATTCAGGCACCTTTAATTAAATCAAAGAAACATATTTTAATTAAAAAAAATCATGCCATATTTATTGTCTTCAAACCAAGCTGTCAGTTTTTTCCCGTTCGTATTACAGGTTGGTTTATTTTTTGCATAAAACCCGAAATAATTTTATTACCACAAGTATAACTATTGTTGGAATAACATAAACGGTACCAATTTTTTCTGCACCAGATGCGCATTTCGACAATCAATGTCTCTTCAGTGATGCTCGAGGCCAAAACATTTGAAAATCCAAAGCTTATTAAAAAGATGAAGAGCTATAGACCAAAAAGGAAAAAAAAGTTATAGCTTAAGCCAGGCAAGGAATCAGAGCTTTGTATAAGGAAGATACATTCCTAAACTTGTAATGTATATTGAATCAAAGACTGGAAGTTCTCACATTTTCAACAAATATCGAGTTCAAAGAAATATAAAAGCGAAACTCGAATTTTGAGAAATTCCGTTATGAAAACTTATATCAGTACAGTTGTTTATGATCAGCAATTGTAAATTATAACAAATGATTTTAAAAGTTGTCGTGACTTGACACTAATTTCTAAGAATCCTCACATTTCTCCCAGATTTTGATAACAGGGCTATATACTGATCAATACAATATGTTTATCATGCGTGACAGCATCAAAGGGCATGTGTGTCTTCTTTTATGTGATGTCTTAAGCATTTATTCAAATAAATTTAACAATATCTGGAACATCTAAAAGCTCTTAAAGACTCTACTTACGACATGTTTCTGAAAATACAAACATAAAAATAGTCAATATTGTACCCAGAGATGATTAAAAACTGATATATTTGCTATACAAAATTTCAAATTGTTTTATCATGTATTACGTAGGAATTAAACGACTAGACAAAGTGTTTCTATCGTTATATTTATTTATGATAGAGCGCCATGTAGTTTAGAACATTCAATAACAGAATTGCGACAGTTGTTGAAATCTCGTTAAATGGGAATCTCAGAATCCAAATATAATCATAATTATGAAACATCCTACTGAAAAATAATGATTTGGCTAAGAGAACTTGTTATTACTAAGCTTCTTTCTTCTCTTTACTTATGTACAAAAAAGTATAATTTGGTATTTGGTGTATTAAGAATAAAGATACGGGAACTTTTGTTGTATTTTGCAAACGTTAAACGCCATCGTGTGAAATTCATTTATTGGGTAATTGTACTCGTATCTTTCTTTTCCAATTAACATTAAATGTTTTGGTCATATACCTTCTTCTGGTTGGAACCAGATCTCTCACTGTTCCGTTTTTTAGGATATCGTACTGTGGGAAGATTTAAGATATATCGGACCAGAACAACGGATAACGTGGTTGTAATTAGATAGTGAATACATTAAACCAGAATGTGGTATTGGGCTAAGTACTTTACGCAGACAGGTTCGGTTTTAATTGGAAATGCATTGATTTTCATTTTTGCATAAATCATAGTATGGTATTTCTAATAACATACCATATTCTGTCAATGCAATGAGTACACTGTCAGCATGTGATGTTCGACTTGTTGAAACTTGATTAGCTGCACATCCACCTGGATTTGTACTAATGGAACGGGTACTTCCAGATTGTGATACCGCCTGCAAAACAAATTAGCTATTTATAAAAAGAATTAAAGATACAGTTAATATCAACTCATTTAGGATAATACAGAACTTATGGAATATGATTTGCAAGCTATATAACAACGTAATTCTTTGGTTTTCTGACAAAAAAATCATCTGAACAAAAATCATAATGACTGACAATAATAAAAACCTATCATCTCAAATGTGCGAGATTGCTTCACAAATTTGTATACCAATTTTGCATTTTCGTCCATTGAAATTTAGTAGACACATGTATCATGGCGGTATCTCCTTAAGAGGTTTATTTTTTTTCAATACCTATAGTAAACTCTATGAAAATGTCAAAAAGTGGAATAAAGATCGTGAATTAGGTTTTCCGAGCCATGAAAAAAAAAACGATACAAAATCAGACAAATTATATATAGGTTGAAGTGTTGAAACAGAGATATTTTGCTCTAGACTCTCGTCAATTAAGAGTTTGACATATAAATTAAATTTAGGAGATGTGGTATCATTGTAAATGAGACAACTATCCACTAGAGTCCAAAATGACGTGGATTTAACCGATTATAGGTACCCCTAATGCCTTCAACAATGAGCAAAACTCATACGTGAATTAAGCTATGAAAGGGCCCGGCATGACAAATTGTGATACAATTCAAACGACAAAAGCAACGTCATGATTAATGGCAAAACAATAAACGAAAAAAAAAAGATATAAAAGAGGCACACAACGACAACCACTCAATTACAGGATCCTGATTTGGGACAGGCAAATACAGAATGTAGCAGGGTTGAACATGTCTGTGAGCGCTCAACCCTTCCCCTAACCTAGGACAATGGTGTAACATAAAACGAACAGTAAAATTCAGGTGGAAATACTTCTTTTAAAGATTATTGTTGACCACTAAATGTCGTTTGGTCATGATTGGCGTAAATTCGAATTTCATTTTTCTCATACAATATTTATAGTCTGGTAAAAGTATTTCTTTTAAAAGACCCATGATTAAAGTTACATGTATTCACACTTGAACGAATTCATCCAAACTCATTGAAGCATGAATAAGGGGACAGGGCATCATTTTTTCTATTATATTGAAGTACATACAAAGTAGATGTTCAACAAAAACATACTTCAGTTAAAACACACACAATCATAAATCTCATAAACGTAGAGTGGTCGACATCTACCTTGAGTCGTTTTGGAACTTCATTGAAGTGTAAGCTTTTGCTCTAAATTTAAGGTTACACTTTGACTGTCAGATGACAAATAGCAGTCAAAGTGCAGTTATATTGCTTTTTTTTATTCACCTGCATACAGCAAAAATATTCAAAAACTTGTTTTATAGTTATTTATACTTACAATACATGTGAAAATTGGATCTGTTCCATCAGAATTGATCAGAATGGTGTAGTATGTTGATCCAGATTCAGTCACGTTTGCCACATTGTAGAATACTCCACTGGCTAAAATAAAAGATAAACTGTTGGAAAATAGGTTAAATATAAATTAATATAACCCTTATGAAAAATTGAAATCACGTTAAAGCAAACATCGTTTTAAATTAGTGAACCTCATACATATTACACAAACTTACGGAAAAGTGGCGTAACTATTGAATTATACGACTCGTGAGTTTGAATGTCACTTTGGTATCTTTCGCCTCTCTTTTATTGAAAGATATCAAGGATGTTACCGTTGCCTTGATAATTTCGTAAGGTTGAGGTGACATCTTTATAAAAGTTCTACGCCTGTCACAATTCAGGAACATCTAGCCTTTGTTAAGTTTTGTGTGTGTTTTTTTTTTTATAATTTTGGTTTATTTGTATGTTTCGGAGTTTAGTGTGGCGTCCATTTCGTATTTCTCTGAACCAGTAAACATTATTGATTAAGGATCAATTGAAGCCCGCCTCCGGATGCTCCGGGTGCGGAATTTTCTCTCCGAGTTGATGACCCATTGGTGCACTTGGGGCTGTTTTCTGCTCTTTGGTCGGGTTGCTGTCTCTTTGACACATTCCCCGTTTCCATTTTCTATTCGATTGCATACAGAAAGCAGCGTTCTAGGTGAATGCAGAACTCAAATTAAGGTCACTGTTTTATATTTGAATATTAAATGCTAGTCGACTATTTTTACACTAAATTGAGCTGTAATTAAGAAACAAAACTGTTTGATATAAGGATAAATGTGTATGTTTGAATTCGATTGATAATAATATAACTTTCAATTAAGGGCATTTATTTTTTTGAAATGACTTACAGATCAAGTTTGCGTATTTTCCGGTTGACCCGATGTTTCGCAGAATTTTAACCGACTTCAGACCGAAATTTTATGTAAATTGTACTTATTCAGACTTTTGCATCATGCCTGCAGAGGTGCTATTTTTTGTTAATGAATTACGGGTCTAGTTTCAGTTGATCGACTGTTTGCGGAATTACAAATGTACATATACGGCCCCTTGACCTTTTATGAGATTAAGGGAAATTGTATTTGTCCAGGCTATGAATCTAAGAGGGTGATAAAGAGTTATTTTCTTGCAACGTGTTTTGCCATTTTTATTTCATGTGCTTCCGTGCATGAATCTCGTTATTCACCGTGTTTCGTTAAATTGGTAAAACAGAAGTCAAGTGCGAGCACTTGTTTTTTTTCTTTTTTTTTCATCCAGATGTGGCAATTTTATTTCGTGTTTGTCCGTGTACATACCGCAACCTCTCCCGACCATTTTGTGAATGAAATATAAAAAGAGCCATTATGAGTTCATATATATATATATATATATTTTAACAGAGATGATGAGCTCATGTAACTAAGCAATATGGGGAAGACGACTGTCATTCTGTATATACATCTTAATTCAAACAATAGCATCTGAAAATATTTTAACAGGTTAACTGTTTGTTAGATTACGTGAGTGCAATTTCGTTCAGATCATTTAATTTGTAAAACATGCAAATTAAATATTTTAATTCAACAAGAAAAGAACTCACTTGAGCCCATGACCGATGTTGCACACTGCGTGTAGTTTAAAACAGCAGTGGTTCTGTCTATATCTCCATTAACATAGCATCCATCCCAGACTGAGTCTGTACCTGCACATGATGTACTGGTACCGTCATTAACAGTGTAGGAAAACACCCCAAGCAGAGGATCAGGAAAATACTGTTGGAGGTGAACAGATTGTTGCATATCTTTAAAAATATGTAAATTATGTCATATACTGGTATTTTTAGATAATAGATGATGATCTAATGGCTGTTAAATGTTCATTTGTAAATTAAATGCATGCTTTCGACGAGAACATTTTAAGGCAATTTGAATATGAACCCTGTTTTGTATTAGACCGACACGCTGAGTCGGATTTGTAACGTGCTTGTTCATAAGATAACAGTCCGCAGAAGGACATGTCACCCTAAAAGACACATTAATATTCTAACTGCGAACCGACCAGTATTTCTCTTACTCCTTAATGCCGCGAGCTTAGTAGGGATGTAACAAATACCAATTGTACCGGGATCGAACCGATGACTTCCCGCCTTCGAGACGAGCACGATACTATGATACCACCGAGGCTATTAGAAATGCTTTACCCACAACTTAACCGATCATTTTGCAATTTATGAAATAAACTGTAGCCAAGTTTTCTATCTTTTTATTTTTCCTTTTTTTTTTTTTTTTTGTTAATCGTATTATATAAGTATTTCTTGTGGATAACAGTATTGTACGGTATGGTTTTACCACAAAGTAATCTGAGAAATCTCAAAACGTCAAACAGCAATTTCATATTTGTTTTTCATTGTATATGTACCCGTTTTGTGCATCCCTATATCAATAACACAATTACATGGATTGTTAAATGATTAAGCATTTAAATCTTATATTACGTATGCACGGTACATAATACTGAATTTGAATTTATGCAACACACGATGATTGTCAGATTATATAATAAATAATTAACGTGATCACTATTACTCACTTTGCTTCACTAAAACATTATATTCTCTTGTGTCTGGGCCATTCGTATGATTACAATACTGTGCAGTACTGGTGTAACTTGAATCTTGTAATTGATCTAATAGGAATACTCTCTTACCAGTGAAATCTTCTACGTCTGGAAACAGAAATTAAAACCAGTCTCATCAAGAAGATGTACAATAATGAACATAATAAACATAATTCTACCGTAGACCTTATGAGATTCAACCGTACAATGCATGCAAAACCAAATTCCAAAGCAAACACAACGACTGTACATTGTCATTTCGGGGCCTTTTATAGCTGACTGTGCGGTATGGGCTTTGCTCATTGTTGAATGCCGTACGGTGACCTATAGTTGTTAATTTCTGTGTCATTTGGTCTCTTGTGGAGAGTTGTCTCATTGGCAATCATACCACATCTTCTTTTCTATATGTAGATTTCTTATGGTTATATGTGTGACTTTTCCTTAACATTTCCTTTTATTCACATTAAAAATTGAAAACTATTGCAATTTCATACGAAAAAAAATTAAATATATTCACGCCACTGACATCATAGTTTACAAATGCAAAATATGTTTATACAGATTCTTGCATATAATTTTAATGATATCAATTTTATTTAACATAGTTTGAATAGCAGGCGATATTTATTTGAAACTAAACAATAATTATAGAAATGAGTCTCTCAAGGAAGGAAATTACCGAAATTGTATATTTAAATCGTGAACATTTCATTAAAAGTTAATTGCAGACGTATAATTTAAGCCTTTTTAATACATGGACTTTTTTACAATTGTATTCTTACACGGATTATAAGATGGAAATAATTCATAAAATACGTGTTTTGATTTAAAAAAAATAGTCCGTAAACAACTGATTTTTTTACAGGAACAATGAGAATGGGGCTTCGAAAATGCACTCAATAAATTCTGTTGAAAAAAAGTTTAAAAATCAATGATTCATTTCTATCTCTGTCCACGGCAACAGTCATTTGAGTTTCTATCTCTGTCCACGGCAACAGTCATTTGAGTTTCTATCTCTGTCCACGGCAACAGTCATTTGAAGAAGAAAAATCTTAAAACTGAGTAGACATCACCATGTCCAAAATTAAAAACGACAGTAAAACAAATAACAATAACGAACCATTACATAAAAAACTAAAGAATGAGCAGTACGAACACACACAAAAACCGGGGACGAAAGAGCTCTTGAAGAGTTAAGAATATTAAAATGCTCCACTAAAGACACCCGCTATGATACTCCTGTTCACATAAGTTTGCGAGTCTTATATGGTGATACGGTATCATACAATAGCGAAAAGGTCAATATTTCTGATCTTATCCTAAGACATCATCTCATTAACCATCGGTCATGTACATTCTCTAACCCTAAAACTTGACAGAAAAAAAAAGTTTGAAATTAAAATATTGTTTTCAGTATACAGGATAGAATAGACTTTTACCGGTAGAAACAACACAGTACAAATACAACACACAAATTAGGTAAAAGCAACACGAACCCCATTAAAACAAAACAAAGGATGAACTTGTGTACCCAGAAAGGATAAGCAGTTCCTGCTCAGCTAGTGGCGCTGTAATGTTATGGGACGGCGTAAACTGTACCATTAGGAATCCTTTACGCTATAGCATCATTGTAAGCAGTAACCCTCTATCAAGGAAATCATGACAGGAAACGCAAGCCGTGTAAAATTGTATCAGCTTAGAGATATTTACTCCATATACAGGCGCTGCGGAAACATTGCTACACGGAAATGGAAACAATAGACTTAATTGAAATCATTTCTTTTATTGTAAAGATTAGTTCTCAATTGATTGTCAAGTACTAGATGTAAGTAAAGTAGCAAACTTAAATGTATCTGTGGTATCCTTTATTTCAAGTTCATTGGGACAGATGCAATCAACTTAATCACATTGAACTATTCAGTGAAAGGACATCATCTATATAGAGGAACGTTAAGTAAAAAGATATTGTGTAATTCTTTTCGTTTAACTCATAATTGCAATCTGCCTCATCATAATGATAAAGGAAATCCAGCATCTACTCAGGAGTTCCAATTTAGTAAGTGTCGTGAGAGTATGATATCTGTGGGTTTCACTTTAGCTAACACATTTCGTATAGAAACGGGTACACCTTTAACATTAAAGATTGTTTGGGTCGCTGCTTTGTTTTTAAACTTATAGAAGCAAAAACAAATAATAACTATTTAATAACCTTTAAAATACACATTAATAGTAAAACTAATCATAAAGATCAGGTAAGAACATGTTTAATGAGTCATCGATACATATTAGGCGCTTTTATAAATGTTTTTATATCTTGTACACATTGAACATTGTAAAGTGTGGACATATTAATTATGTAGGTTAAACAGTTTGTTCACTTACATCGTCTTAAAGTCATATGATCCTAGAAAATTTAACACAAAAATATTTTATTTGACTTTAGATACAAATTACAAATAAATGTGAACAAAATGTAGACGGCAATATTGTTGTTAATTTTATGTTTTCTGGTTGTTGTTCTCATTGGCTTTTACCCGACTTCTCCCTTATATTCACAAAGCAATTAAGCATATTTGGTCAATACCATGCTTTCCCCCCCCCCCTCTCCCCTTTTCCACCAAAAAAAAACAACAACAAACAAAAAAGTAGTGACAACTTACTAGACCGCACATAGTATGAGTAGCTGTTGGTTGTTAGGCTACTATATTCTAGACAATAGATGGCATAATAATCCACTCCAAACAAATGGTTATGCGTATCACTTCTGTGAACATAAGACAAGTCATGTAATTTAAATTTATAATTTAAACAGATCAATATTTATCATAATTTTTAGATTATTAATAATATGCGAATTAATCAGCTGAAAATGATAAAAAATGCTGAACATTGAATCAGTAAAAAAAGTACAGTCGAGACAGCTCACTAAGATGAAAAGAATACAAAAACACCATCATAACAATTTAGAAAGAAAACTGACAAATGCCAACACAAGACTGCAACAAATAGCCTGATCACCCTTGACTATATATGTTAGACATAATATCTAGAAGCCCAAAAGTGTGAAAATAAACAACGTATCATCTGAATTGAATGTTATATTAACAAAGGGTAAGCATCGTGTCATTCTTTGATTAGCCTGAAATTCAAGGCATAAGTAATATGTGTCGATTCTGTTTAATTTTGAACTGGTGAATACAATTCTGAATAGGCACATTCATACATGTAGTACTAATTCTGCTGAAATAGATTTTATAAATTATTTACATTAAATCGTTAATAAGTTTCGAATTGATTATTTAGTTGGTGGACAATAGCACAAAAAACAATTTTTAACCGCTTCTAATCATTCATGTAAAAGCCCATTTAATTGAAACTTGGTTTCAAATATAAAATGTTATATCACTGTGTTCGTTCTTGGTGCATATAGAGTATCAGCAGAAATGTAAATTGTCAGTTGAAACACGGGATGGCATTTCAGAGCCTAAAATCATTAGATTTGTTTTTCAGCAAAAGAACTGTTTTCCTAAATTAAATAGTTACATGAATCTAATTATAAAACTTGCACTACAGTGTAGCCCTACAGTGTCCAGACAAGTAATTAAATGCATTTTTATCTGTGTTACAATTCACAAAAAACGATTAGAATTTATTTAGTAAATAAGATTCATGTTTTTTTTTTTTCAATATATTGTTTTTTGGGGTTTTTTTTCCTAAAAAAATGGACGACAGTATTGCTTTTCAATACTTTGTCAATTATTGCATTTTTTATTTGTCCCTTAAGTTTTATGAAAGTTACAGCGGGTACGTGAGTAGACGTAGGAACACAAAATAGAATATCTATGAGTAATTCTTTTCGTATGTATTTCGTTTAACTTTACTCAAACAAGTCACATGCTTTCATTGAAGAAATTGTTGTCGAAAAATACATTGATAGTTGCTTCGTTAGTAAAAATGTCGGGAATATTTTACCATATTCATTTTGTACTAAATTGCAAGGTGTTGATTTACTCCATGGAAAAAAAAAGATCATACCGAAATACTAAATAAGAAGAATCACTTTCAACACAGGTAAACGTGTTCCATACAGCAGCATTTATTGTGAGTTGCCAGCCACTTGTAACTGCCAATGAACTAAAAGTTACAACTCCATTGGTTCTACTGTCCCACCAATTTCCGGTCAGTTGTGACGGAAGAGTACAGGCACACTCTGGAAAAGAATGGATACAATGAAAATTATCTATTTTCTCTTTATTTTAATTGTTTACTTAAACACGTCTGTATTCTGATCAATTCATGTGAACAAAAATAGTTTTTACAGTAAACTACTACGTCATTTGGTAGAGAGTTGTCGCATCGGTAATCATTCCATATCTTCTTATTTTTATATTACTTGATTTGATCTGTTTATGAAAATTTTATGTGAAATCTCTGTGTACGTGCAGCGGCTGATATTAGAGTGTGAGAACCCACGATTTCTTGATCGGAAGTTAAATAACTTTGAACTCGCTATCAACGACGTTGAGATTTTTTTTTTACAATACATTTTCTAGTTTTAATTTACTTCTAACTAGTTTGCATAAATAAAAGGAGATGATGGGTGTACGTCAATACGATAGTTTCCCAACGACAAAAATAACCAAAAGACATCTAGCGCTAATACACAATTTTCAAAAACATATATGAGGCCATACAATATGTCAAGCTCTAATTCTTCCAGGGTTTATAAAAGTTGTTAATACATTTAACAAAAAAAAAACCAACAAAGATCTGCAACTGAATCCTAATTCTCTAAATAACTAATACAATAAGATATGACATACGACAACTACTGTTGCGGTCCCTGACATGAAAATGTAGCGGGATTAAAATAATATTTTTATATCTCAACTCTTCATTTTTGTTTTTTCTCAATCAGTTAATTAAGTAAACGTACATGTAGTACTTTAAATTGCACATTACAAATCTACTACAGGAAGAGCACTTAACTCTAAAATGACGGGATAAAGATAACAAATAAACTCAAAACAAATAACCAACTATACTGTGTCAAAAATCGCTTACAGTTACAAAAAACCAAGCGCAAAGTTCTTAACCTGCTGATAAGAAATCTTGTCGTCCTACACTTAAGATAGGTTGCTGTACGTCAAAGCAGATTGCATACAGCAACTTCATTAACATTACAAGAAAACATGCAGGATATTGTACAATACCCAGAACAGTATATACAGAAAAGCAAAAGAATCATTTTAGTATTGCTGGAGACGATTAAATAAGCGTATTGAAACATGTGTAATACGAATCGCAGAAATTGAACAAAACAGTATAATTTTATCCTTCATCAATAAGTCTATTCAGTCAATGAGACATAGGTCAATTCCTAAGTGTGTTATCTTTATAAACAATATAACCGTTAAAACTGGAAATGAAATACTACTTTTTTATTATTAAATCAATTAAAAGTTCACCATTCTTTGACAAAATGAATTCCTGGCAGATACGACATAATATGCAAAATGCTTTTCTTGTACTTAAATTCTATGTGAATCTTTCCCCCCCCCCCCCCCCCCCCCCCCCCCCCCCCCCGTTTGTTAGACTCCGGTCCATTTCTTCCCTATTATTTGTTGTTTCGTTTTTTTTTAACCGTTAGCCAAATGGGTTAGAGAAGTAACAACAGACAAGGAAGGCGAAGCAAGAGGAAAATCAAGAAATGGGACAGCTCGGGCTAGGCTGTTATTAGATGATATGAATTTGCATTTTTATTCCATCATTATACTACAAACATTCCATTATTATACTACAAACAATCTTAAATCTAAATCTCAACTTCTTCACTACATGGAAAACAATTCTTTCTTTTATCGACTATAAAAGGTTTCGTTTATTGTTTTACAGAAGTTCTAACCAAAAGCAACTGAATTCAAAGCACATGAAGTAAAAAGGGAATACTCGACTTCTTCAATCACATCCAACGCAAAATGGGAGCAAGACTGATCCAGATGTCCAGATGAGACTGATTAGAAATGACAATTGAATACGTTATTTTACGAATCCGTACTTTCAAATTTAGAAACTTGTTTAAACGAATAAGTATATAAGTATTACTAGCTTTTTGAATCTGTGTGTAATATCGAGAAGCAGCTTTTATTGTTGAAATGTCTCAAATTGGTAAGTTAATACGGTGAATATTATTTGACGACTATAGTATTATATCAACAGTACCCGTTAGATAGTACAATAAAATGACTTACCAGATTCAAGAAGAAATGTAGAGAAGAAATAAGTTACAATAAATGATATTCCTCTGTACATATTGTATATGCCAGTTTAATCACTGTCGAATTATAATCTTCACATTTTTAAAATTTTGTTAAATATTATGATTATGACTGTATCACCACGTTACACGAAATGAAAATCACCAATCCGTGCAAGTGCTTTTGAACAATGAAAAATGAACTTTATTGTTTTAAAATCAATGGGACAAAATTCTTTTGTTTATAAATTTGATCGTAAATGGGTGAAAAATATAAATTATGAGGTCATCTTCAGTCTTACACTTCTGTATTTAGACGGTGTTTTCTTTTAAGTTTGGCAAAAGTACGAGAAAAAAGTTAAAAGTTTAACGCCCTGGATGATTCCATTTTCTCTTTTTCTTTTTCATTGATCCCTTTAAATTGCTTTTCTGCTATAGGTCTAACCCTATGTTTAACATTGTCATCAAATTGAAAATTACAATCTTGAAGGTTATAATACATAAATAAAGATGAGAACCATCCTGTAATAATGAAAGTATATTGTATGCGATTTACACATAATATCATACCTACCATTTCCTTCCAGTAATAAGTAAAGTTGAATCACTCCATAAATTATCTTTCTGAGAATATCAAACGTGCGTTTTGTGTTTCGTTGTACTGTCATGCTTTGAAAATTGAATTTATATTTCTGAAACACTGCAACTGACCTAACAAAGTAGATGAGATTTTACCAGCAAAGTAATCATGGTAAACTTCTGTTTAAATATCAAGCAAAAGTGCGTTCAAAGTTTTGAATGATATGCAATTGCTTGTTTGCGTCTTCAAATTACTTTTAGTTTTTAAAAATTTCTTTTTTCAGATAAACAGCTTGCACGAAATGAAAACTACAATTGGAGAAAAAAATAATATTCAGAAACAAGTTATTTACTTTTAGAAATTGATCTCTTTATTCGTTCCACACTTGATAGTTCGACAAGTCATAACCAAAATCCCTTCGACCACGGCAATATAAAATAAATAAAGGTATTGAGAGCAAATCTCACTAGATGTTACCACCACCCTTGCTTGCAAAGTCATTGCTTTAATTAAGGAAATTACGATCGATACGGGGTTTTGGGTAAATTGCGGATACAAAATGGATACCCCAAATAAATCAATCGCTAAGTCCATGCTTTGGTAAGGTAAACAACAAGAACGATTCAGAAAAAGTAGGAGGTGCACAATAATATTTTATGGTTAAGATTGTTAGAAAGTTACAATAAATTATATTAGGGAGAGTTGCTGATACAAAATAGGTACCTGAAAGTAAAATAGTGGCACCGTCCATGCTTTCGAAAGTAAAGCCCCAAAAAATAGTTCGCATCAACAAAAACAAAAAAATAGGAAGAGCACAATGGTATCATATGGTAAAGATTCTAAGAAAGTTTTATGAAATTAGGATTAGGGGTTTAGGAGAAGAAGCGATATAAAATAAAATACTATAGTGTGCAGATATGACGAACATCATGTCATCCCAATGTAAAAATAAACAAGAATGTGTCAATAGTACATGGATGCCCCACTCGCACTATCATTTTCTATGTTCAATGGACCGTGAAATAGGGGTCAAAACTCTAATTTGACATTAAAATCAGAAAGATCAAACCATTGGGAACATGTGTACTAAGTTTCAAGTTGATTGGACTTCAACTTCATCAAAAACTAACTTGACCAAAAACTTTAATCTGAAGCTGGACAGACAGACGGACGGACAGACGGACGGACGGACGGACGGACGCACAGACCGAAAAACATAATGCCCCTCTACTATTGTCGGTGGGGGCATAAAAATCATTCAGATAAAGAAATGAAATAAGAGGCGCAAAAGTACATCATAAAAGTAATGTTCTGTGAAAGTGTCAATAAATTCTGTCAACGGTTCAGGAGAATTTGCGGATACAAAAGGAGATATCAGTAGCATGGAGACGGACATGGGGACTCCCCATCAATACAATCCGGAAGGGGGATGTATTATAAGAGGATCTGTTGGGATCGCCAATAGGACAACTGTCGCTAAAGAAAAGGATGTTAACAATTACAAGTAACAGGTCACCATTGCATTCAACAACGAGCAAAACTTAGACCGTACAGTAAGCTTTAAAAGGCTCTACTATGACAAAATGTGAGACAATTCAAAAGAGAAAAGTAATTACCTGATTTATACTAAAACACTGAACAAAAAACAAACAAAGTAAAAAAGCGAGGAAATAAAAAACAGATCTTTATATTCACTTTCAGATCTATTGATGATGTCCTGAAACTCAGTAACCCATATTTCAGTGAGTGCTTGCATTTCATATATCCAAGTGAACTTGATATTAAGGATACAACCGAAACTTAAAGCTCTGCTTTATATCTTGTTATTTTCCTTGATATTGTCACAAATAGACGACTCCACCATGGAATCTTTGTCAAACGCAATGATTTAAACTTTCCATTAGTCAAATTACCTTTTTTGCCTAGTAACACACTCTCTGTCCCACAATGTGGCGTATACATATCTTAATTCTTACGTTACGCTCGTGTATGTTCACAATATCCGGACTTCATTAACAGAGCTATGGGGAAAAAGACCTCAACTCACCAGCGAACACCATGGAATCTATGTCAAACGCCATGTTTTCGCCATCTTAGATCCTCAGGTACCAGAATTGTCGTCTGATCTGTTAATTAACCGATTTATTCTATCCTCGATTGCGACATTTAACTGAGTTTGAATTCGCATTGGTTGACGCATGCATAGTAGAGGATGCTTGACGCATCTGTTTGGCTCCTTTTGGAGTTACCTTTAGTGTTTGTAGTTACCCTAGTTTGTATCTTCTAAATGGATTTATTAGAATTGAATATCGGTAACCAGCTGTTGCCTCTAATTAAGCCATGCTGGTTATTTTCATGTATTTGAGAGGCGTTCATTTGGTTTTGTGGGACCAATAACAAAAATACGCAGCCACATCCTGACGGAATAGGGACTTTGCATCCAATACCTTGTGCCAGGAGATTGTCACGATCTCCTCACGTTAAAAAGGCCTTGCAATAACTCTTTTAAAGGATCGTGGAAAGCGTATTGTTAAGCAAAATTTCTCCCCATCTCTAATTTCCCCTTTTTCCTATGGCAGATAAATTTACTTACCTTCATTCTTTTTTGATTTTCAGCTTTTAAAGTTTTGATAACATGAATAGTTCTTGTTGGTAAAACAATTTAAATCCTACATAACGTGTACGTGTTTAAATGACTTCAAAATATTCATAAATACAGAAATCACGTAAGTCTTTTGATAATAGCATACAAGCTTAAGAATATAATTTTGTTGTTTGTAATTAAAATGTTTCTACATGCCATTGTAAAAAATAAACTAACAACAATTATTTGTAAATTATTTCTCCGTAGGAGGTATTTTTTTAAATTCTCGTAGAATGTACAAGTTGTACATGGCACACTTGCTATAAAGCTAGATTTACAGTAATTTGAATAAGTAATCACGCACTAAAAGAGAGGGGGAGATACAAAAATGATATCCTAACTCAAAAGAATCGAAGAAGAACTGACTACGCCATGGCAAAAAATGACAAACAACTTTCTTACAACGTTAACCTAGAAAACAAAACACCGAGCAACACGCACCCTACCAAAAACCGGTGGTGATTCTAAGGAATTATTATGAAACTTTTGATTTGAAGTGCAAAATTTATCTGAGCTTATGAAGTCGACTGGACAACAAATCATACACTGCTATTATTACCGAATTCAATGCCATATATGGGAACTGTGCTCGGCATCATGCGGGGACAGCAAATTGTGTTGCTTCGAACAAGATAGGTGAGTAGCAATCTTCAAATATTTAATTATTTAGGTCGTTTTAGTGAATAAAAAGTACTGCACGGAATGCACAGATAAAAGAGGTATTCACAGGACCAACTTTGCATGCATTGTCTATACATAAAATAGTAGCACACTCGCGCAAAGCATCAGGATTTCCTTAAAAAGAACAGGTATGATAAGAGTCATTATTTGGATCCTACAATTGCAACAATAGTAAACTTGACCAAGCCTTTCAAAATTATGTCAATTTTATTGGTAAAGAATCGGGTTAATATAATATTGACACCTTAGTGCATATATGTCACTTGTGATGTCACTACGACGTCATAAAAGTGATGAAACTTACGTAATTGACCTAAATTTGCCATTTCCATATTAAATTGTCCGTTATAAAGAAATCGAGATTTCAACTGCCTCAGGCAAAGTTGACCTCAAACTGATTTGGCTATTTTTTTAGGTTCTTTTTGATCTAAGAGCTTTTCAACTGTTTCGGTTCTTAAACATACACATTCTTGTCTTTCAAATATTCGCCTTTGAGCGTTCCTGGTTAAGGTAAATACAGAAAAATGCTTCGGACGCGTGCAATTTATAACCTGTTGTTTTCATTTTTTACAGCACTTGGTCAAAACTGCTGGTGGACCATCAGTCCCCGAGCGTATGCTCAGCTCAGTTGTCAGTACTTTGGTTCTGACATGATTTATAACTAATCTTTCTGAAATTTTCCGTTTATAATTTAAAATTATAAAGAAACTTGGATTTCAACACCCTCAGGCAAAGTTGATCTCAGACTGATTTGGCAATTTTTCTAGGTTCTTTTTGGTCATATATCTATTCAACTGTTTCGGTTCTTATACATCCTTGGCTTTCATATATTCGGCTTTCAGCGTTCTTGTTGAAGATAAATCAAGAAAAGCGCATCGGACGTATGAAATTTATAACGTGTTGTTTTCGTTTTTTACAGCACTGGGTCGATACCTCTGCTGGTGGACTATCTGAATGCAAATATATTTGTTGCAACTCATTTAAAGCATCCTTACTAATGAGAAAGGTAAATATGCTAGATATACTTACTGGAGGTGTGATGAGTTGAACGAAGCTGTAAATTTTCTTCTTGATTATATTTATGTACGTTTCGCCAATAAAGTGTATCGACAGATAGTAGATATTCCTATGGGCATCAATTTAATAGCAGACTTGTTCTTGTGCTGTTATGAACCACAGTTTATGACCAAACGCAGGAAAAGACTCGTCTAAATTGCATTCAATTGATAACTTCAACAACACTTACCGTTATCTT